TCCCTCAATATTTGTGTACACTTCTACCATAGAGTTTATCAAATTGTTTTATCTCCTTTTCTCTCATCTGGCTGCAAACAATCTTAGGATAGAGGTTTAATCCTATGTAACTGAATATTCTTTACTTAGCAGAGCACCTGGAACATAGTAATGTTTGATGAATGCATGAATGAGGACTGAGACATCTCCCATGTAGGAAGGAAATAATTGGCCAAGTGCTCCCCATTACCAAATGGGATGTACTGTAAGCTGGCACTACATAGGAATATATCTGAGGAAGCGATTCCCTAAAGTCCCAGGGGTTCCAGGCTTGAAAGCAAGCAGGCTTGCTTTGTCATAAATAAAGGAAGGAGGGGAAAGAGATTTTTATCTGAATTGCTGGATGTCATCACCCGAACAAACTTGGAAGTCATATGCTGAAGACAGCAGTCAGAGTCTTTGAATGATTGTAGATCAGAGGACCTTCCCATCCCTAGCAATTTCTAATTGGACTTTTGAACTTCTAATTAAATTAAAAATAAACTTTACTGTGTTAGTCCTCTGAGCCCTCAAGATTTATCTGTTATAGGATCTAGCAAATACCTTATCTATTTAAAGAAACTGAGATTAGATGTGGTTTTAACAAAAAACTAAAATTTACTGTTGCTTTGACTAACCAGTTGAACAGTGAATGGTGAAGAAATGAAAATCAAAGGTACAAGGTTAGAGCTCCAGGCTATGCCATGTAAATATCTAGTAAAAATGTCACCTGTGATTATTGATGTATTAGCTATTTATTGTTGAGTAACAAATCACTCCAGAAATTAATGGCTTAAAACAACAATCAGCTTTTATCATCACTCACAGTTTCTATGGGTCAGGAATTCTGGAGCAGCTTGAGGTCTCTCAATAAGGTTGTAGTCAGATATTGACAAGGGCCTGCACCTGGGGTGATAGGATCGACTCACTCACATGGGTACATGACTAGCAAGTTAGTGCTGGCAGGTCGGTTGCCCTTGGGTCTGTTTGAGGGTCTCGTGAGCTGGTGGCTGCTTTCCCCTAGAGCAATTGATCCAAGAGATCAAGGAAAAGTTTCCATGTCTTTTAAGATCTAACCTTAGAAGGCACATACCAGTAATTACTTCCATCATATTCTACTGGCCACTTTCCCTCAGACCGTCCAACTCCCATGGAAAGAATGAACTATCAAGGAGCAGGATTTGAGGTAAAGACATCAAATATTACTCCTTTTTCTTTGTTTTAATGATTTCATTGTACATATGTGTTTTAATCTGCTTCAAATGCTCTTGGAAGTAGGCAGGATTTGAATAATGCTAATCCAAATTGATTGCTATGCAGTTGCCACCATGAGGGGAGCTTTTAGCTAAGAATAGTGTGCGGTCATGACTCTTTTGGCCAGAACAGAGTTTTGAGAGGCTTTCCCCACCTCTAGCTTGTTTTCTGTAACACTCAGCTTTCCTGAAAACTGGTCAGTTTTTCTAATTCATTCAGGTTTTCCAGGTATATTTTTATATTTTTCTCACTTGCTACAGTTATCATCTCTACAGGTGGCTGGGACTATAGATTGAAGAAAGAACAAGGCACCTCCAGAATTGGGTTAGACTAAAAAACCAACAGAAAGTGGATGAGATCAAACAAATGTGAGTTGAACCACTTACAAATCACTCCAGAAATTAATGGAACAAATATAATGTAACCTAAAAATCCTCAATCGTGTCTTTAAGCCAGACACAATGACAAGAGATGTTCTTATAGCATTACAACAAATATGAATATCTGTAATGTCTCTCAGATCAGAACCTCAACTTTCCTCAACTTCTTTTTTCACAATTGTATCAGACTGAAGCCATAATTTCTAGGACAACTCTGCATTATTCTTGAATTGCATACTAATTGTCTTCCCTTTAAATGTTTTTTAGATCCTCATTTATCCAGTAGTCTTTCTAAAAACTCCGTTGAGCTAATTACTGTGTCTAATTAGGTTCCACACATATCCTGGGACAGATGAGACTCTCATCTTTACATATGAGTAAGAGACAAGGAAAATAACAACAAAGAGACAGCTAACAACCTAGAGAAAACAGAGAATACCAAAAGTAAAAGAGTAGCATAATTTCAAAAGATATTTACTTAAAAAACAAAAGTAGGCTTAAAATCTGTTTTGTGCACTCAAAAAATTTAAAAAAAATATGGACTCTGTAAAGCAAGAAATGAAACAGAAGATAATAAGATAGTAGACTGAGTTGGAAAAGGATTGGGAGGGTTAGTAAGCAAAGCCACAGCAGAATTTAAGAATAAAGAGCAGAATTAGCAACACATAAACCCAAATCAGTACTGTAAACAATTGACATCAGTAATTTTCCAGAATGCCAAGAGGAGGAACAAAAGGATGAAAATTATCACAGAGGAGATAACAGACATGGAGAGAAGGCCATAGAAATCCAACACATAAATATGGATCCTCCTGAGGACAAGGGAACCATAACCATCAAAGATATAATGAGAGAAAGCTTCCTTAGAAAGTCTGATAAAAGACCCGAAATCATAAATTGGAAGGAATTCATCATGTCCCAGGGGAAAAAAATCTAGACAAATTTTGATTTGCAAGTATAAAGACATAATCCTACCAATGTTAGAAATATAAGAAAACAACCCCTGCTATTGTTTGTGTGCTGCTGACGACCAGCTCTGTTTTCACATTCTTGTCTGTTGTGAAGATAGGGCATGATCCCGCCCTGTTCATAGAGGTGAGGGTTTCTGTGAAGAAAATGGATATTTTGATGTCAAATCCTGAAAAGAGAAAGATTCTAGGGTAATAAAAGAGGACTTGGAAATAGTAAGAAAAGGGAGCTTTCTCTGTCTGAGCCTCATTCACCTAGGCCTGGAATCCAAGGAGTGACAATGTGCTCAATATGCTTCTAAAAGAAACAGAACAATCTTGTCTACCATATAGAGAGGCAAGTCCAGGACTAAGGGAGTTAATGACTTACTGTATGCCAAGATCTAAGAATAATATCTGGCACATAATAAGCACTTGGTAAATATTAGCTATTATCACCATCATAAATATTATTCTATGTGATAAAATAACTGCCATAGTCTTGCAACATATGACTAGCAAAGTTTTATTGTTAAATGCTATACCTTAGACTTTCCTGGGTTACAGAGATTTAAGGGAAGGGTTTGTGCACTTGGTCTCAAGGAATTGAGAGGAGGGATCTCTTTCCTTTTAGAGGCCATTGTTGGTCATGGGAGTTGGTAATAGCTCTGATACAAAAGAGAAGCTAAGGTGAGGACAAAAAAGCAAGACTGGCTCTCAGTTTCAGCCATCCCTCCCTGTGTTTTGAAAGGTGAGTCAGTTGGACATAAATCTAGTGTAAAGGTTTCTAGGCACATTCTGCAACCAAAAGCAAGGGGTAGTAGTTCTTTGGGTCACCGGGGCCTGGCCTTGACCTGGAGACAGGTGTTACAGTAGGGAAAATCCTGAATGGTGCCATTCAAAGCTTTGCACAGAGCTGGGGCCAGTGGGACTGCATACCTTTTCTCTGCTATGCCAAGTTCACTGAGACCCTGATCCCCACCATGCATCCCAGTAAGCCACCAAGGTAAACTGCCTCGATATGCTTTCCCAGAATTCTGCACTATCACACAGCCTTGAATCTCAGTTAGATGAGATTCTAATTCATTATGTGTAGGTGAATGCCTAAGCAGTAGCACCTGTGTGAGCATCTACCTGCATCCCTGATAGATGTAGCCAGGGACACAGAGTTCTCTGGTTTGACTCTCCCATAGTAGGGCTACCTCCATGGCTTCCTAGCCTTCTATCTAAACATCTGACAGGTAGTTTGGGCAGTTTAGTATGGCAATTCAATTCTAAGAAAGAGAGACACCTTCCCTCGTGTGTAATACATTTGTAAGTCTCAAATTACTCAGATTGCAGTAGTCTAAACACTCCAGCCCTCAGTGCCAGTGTACTCAAGTCTATGCTTCCGGGTACGGGCTGCAGCTGCTCCCACACTGGGTCATTGCTCTCTGCTAGTGCTATGAGACTATAGGAACTACAGGACTAGCTAGAGCCTTAGAGCAAAAGGGTAAGCCTCACTGCTGTGCACTGAGTGCATTAAGCCTTCATGCAATGAGTAGCCTCCGATGCATGAAGTAGTGATTCAGTCTATATTTGTGCAACTCCAAGGGAGGGGGAACTATTTCCTAAAATAATTCATCTTCAGACCCTTAAAGAATTATTCCTTGTTTTAAATTAAAGCTAGCTTCATTTAACATCCAGTCCTTTGTCTTACATATACCTCCAGGGGCCATATCAATTCTACCCATTCTTTCAAAGACAACTACCATGTTCCTGAGTCTCCTTACTTCAGCTCCTTCCATGGGTCCTCATCTGGTGGCTCAACTCTGAGCATGCTCCAGTACATCTCTGTGCCTCTTAAGTGTAGTACGAAGAGTGCAGTAGTCCGAGTGTGGGCTGATGGGTACCAACTACAATGAGATTTATCACTCTCTTGTTATAGATGGTGTGCTTTTTTTGGTTATGATATCAGAAATTTACTTGGTTAGCTAAATTTGCTAAAAATATCATCCGCCTTTCCACTCTTCCTCACCTGTAATTAAGCAGTTGTTTGTGTGTCGCCAGGTAGAAGTCGTAACATTCAAAGCACAGTGACTTAATCACGGTTTAGCTCGCAATAATAATCATTAACTTCATCTTACTAGGCATGATCACTACACAATGGAATTACCACTTTAGATGTTAGCTCAGGCTCCACCACCTTCGGCCCCAGAAATGAAAAGCTACCGGGCATTACATCAGGGCGTTACATCAGCTCGGGGACTTTCGGACCAGCGAATTCCAGCCCGCGCGTTTTAGCCAGGCCGCCCTTTGTTAAGCCCCGCCTCCAGGACGACCTTCCTTGGCCCCGCCCCGAAGCCCTGGGGGCGGGAGCCTCGCGCTCGCCCCGCCCACTCCTAGCCCGGGGCGGGAAGTGCCAGATGGAGCCGCCGATTGGCTAACTGGGGCGCCGCTTGATGGCGTCGGGCTGGCCCGCCGCAGTCCCGGCGGTGGCCCGGGGGCGAAGGCCTCCCTTGTGAGAGGGCCTGCGACCCCAGCTTGCTGTGGCCCCGGGGGGCGGAAACTGGAGGCACAAGCCTTCCCTACACTTCGCCATGAGTTTCCTGATCGACTCCAGCATCATGATCACCTCTCAGGTGAGCTACTGCCGCCCTCCCCAGAACCCCTCAGCCCCTCTTCCGTGAATGGTCTCCTCGGGGTTTTGGAGATGCCGGCTGACCCAGGGTCTGTCTCGCCCTTCTCGTCCGCCGCCTAGGCCTGCCTGTGCCTCATCGGCTTCCAGAGCGCGGGGAGAGTGTGGGACCTGCCCTCATAGCGGCCGGCCGCGCCCTCACCCCGCCTCTAGCTCCCCGCTCTCTCGTCCACTTTGGGGACAGTCACGGCGCCTCGGTGCTCAGAGCCGCTGCCTCGAAAAGAGAGCGGTCCCCGAAGCGCCCCCAAGCTTGTGGACCGCGCCGCTGACCCGGGAAGAGTGGTTCCGGGCGCGGAGTACGCAGCACGCCAATCGGAGCTGGCTCCCGGGGACACGTGGGCACCTTACTGGTTACTGGGCAAATTCTCAGTCCAGATTGGCAGGACTTTGCTGTGGTCAGCTCGGAGATCTTTAAAGTACTGCAAGGTTTGGTTTGTGCACCAACACCGCATCCTTTCGTCCTTTTTCTGCTGCCCATGCTGTTCGGATCTTTTTCTTGACCCTCCTTTCTTACCCAGTGGGCACCTTCATTCATTCCTGCAGTCAGCCGACTTTTATCCACCGTCGTATAAAAACTCTTGTGGGTACAAAACCAAATAAACACTAACTGCTCGTTCCATAGAAGCTTTGTTCAGGAAGCCTCTTGCTTTTTTAAAAATTTAAGTTCAGTGAATTTACGTAGAGTGTATTATTAGTTTCAGAGGTAGAGTTAAGTGTTTTATCAGTTGCATATAACATCCAGTGCTCATTATATCACGTGCCCTCCTTAATGCCCGTCACCCAGTACCCCATCCCTCCCATCTCCCCTCCAGTAACCCTCAGTTTGTTTCCTATGGTTAATAGTCCCTTATGGGGATCCCTGGGTGGCGCAGCGGTTTGGCGCCTGCCTTTGGCCCAGGGCGCCATCCTGGAGATCCGGGATCGAATCCCACGTCGGGCTCCTGGTGCATGGAGCCTGCTTCTCCCTCTGCCTCTGTCTCTGCCTCTCTCTCTCTCTGTGACTATCATAAATAAATAAATTAAAAAAAAATAGTCCCTTATGGTTTGTCTCCATCTCTGATTTCCTCTTATTTTTCCCTTCCTTTCCCTATGATCCTCTGTTTTCTTAAATTCCACATATGCGTGAAATCATATAAGTGTCTTTCTCTGTTTGACTTATTTTGCTTAACATTATACCCTCTAGTTCCATCCATGTCATTGCAAATAGTAAGTATTCGTTTTTTATGGCTGAGTAATATTCCAGTGTGTGTGTGTGTGTGTGTGTGTGTGTGTGTATCACATCTTTATCCATTCATCTGTTGATGGACATCTGGGCTCTTTCCATAGTTTGGGTGTTGTGAACATTGCTACTATAAACATTGGAGTACAGGTGCCCCTTCGAATCACTATATTTGTATCCTGTGGATAAATCCCTAGTAGTGCCATTGCTGGGTCATAGGGTAGAAGTCTCTTGCTTTTACTGGTTTTCAGTGTTGAGCTACTCTGGGTTTTTTTTTTTTTTCTTCACAGCTTTTACTGTAGCACTAATACTTATGTAATTATGAATTTATTTTTTGATGTCCTGTTCTATCCAAGCCTTAATTCTGCCCCCCCCCCTTAAGTACAAGTACTAAACACAATTATTTGCTGGCCAACTGTTAATATTTGTAGAAGCTCAGATTATCTAATCATTAATTTTTTTTCCCCACTCACCCAGTAGTTGAGTATATTTTCTTGCTCTTTTTTTCAAGCGGCAAATGACAGAAACAGTTCATCTTGAACTGTTCAAATGAAACTAAATCTTTGACCCAGTTTTCATATTCCTTCATCCAAATGCTTCCGTCTTTGGAACAAAGCACTGTCCGTGTCTCTTGAAAAACTTTAATTACGGCATTTTTAGAAAGTATGAAACAAGGAACACTCTAATAAGATAACTTTTAAGTTTTACCCTTAATATAGTTTTCAGAATTGTTTTTATTGGCTCATAATATTCAAATGTATTAACACACAAAAATCTGGACTCATAATTCTCTTGCTTTTCTAACTTTTCTTAGTCTTTTCTAATTTTTTCAAGGCTAATTGCCCTTTCTGACAATTCAGGTTTGTTTTTAGCCCAACTACCACCTCAAGAAAAATGACAATATTTCAGTAGTTTTATTTTTTCACTCAGTTTTTTTTTTTTTTAAGATTTTATTTATTTATTCATGAGAGAGAGAGGCAGAGACACAGGCAGAGGGAGAAGCAGGCTCCATGCAGGAAGCCTGATGTGGGACTCGATCCCGGGACTCCAGGATCACACCCTGGGCTGAAGGCAGGTGCTAAACCGCTGAGCCACCCAGGGATCCCCTTCACTCAATTTTTAACAAGAATGTGAATGAGGAGATTGGCATTGCATTATAGCCTCTAAGATTTTTTTAACATGGATATAATTGATAAGTTGATGCAAAAAAACAAGTGGCTTTCTGATTTTTTTACATTACTATAACTTTCATATGTGCTTTCACACACAATATTAATTTTTTTAAATTTTATTTATTTATTCATGAAACACACACACACAGAGAGAGAGAGAGAGAGAGAGAGAGAGAGAGAGAGAGAGGCAAAGACAGGCAAGGGAGAAGCAGGCTCCATGCAGGGAACCTGATGTGGGACTCGGTCCCGGGACTCAGGATCATACCCTGGGCCGAAGACAGGTGCTAAACCACTGAGCCAACCAGAGATTTCCCAAATTTTTAATACTCTTTACAAATGAGGAATTAAGACCCAAAGAATCATTTGTGTTGACTATTCTCTGCCCATATATTTGTGTAGCTACTTCATCATTATTTTGGTATCAGTAAAAATGTCAGTTTAGAGAGGTTTGTCCTGACCTACCCCCAACACAGTAGCACCCATTCCAGCCACCTTCAATCTCATTTTCTTGTTTTATTTTTTTAGCCTCTATCACTATTATTTATGTCTGTTTGATGTAAACTGCATGCGGTCCAGATTATTCTCTTTCTTGTTCTCTGCTGTATTCCCCAGCATCTAAATCAGCTGCTGAGGGGATCCTTGGGTGGCTCAGTGGTTTAGCGCCTGCCTTCGGCCCAGGGCATGATCCAGGAGTCCCGGAATCGAGGGCCACATCAGGCTCCCTGCATGGAACCTGCTTCTCCCTCTGCCTGTGTCTCTGCCTCTCTCTCTGTGTGTCTCTCATGAATAAATAAATAAAATCTTAAAAAAAAAAATCAGCTGCTGATATGCAGAGGCCCAGTAAATATTAGATAAACAGTTAGTTACGTTAGAAACCCCTCTTCCTCATTTTTCCTACTTTGTGTGAACTCAAAGATTTATTTTAAATGAAGTCTGTGGGGCGCCTGCCTGGCTTCATCATAAAGCATGTGACTCTTGATCTCAGAGTTGTGAGTTTGAGCCCCACATTGCGTGTGGAGATTACTTAAATAAAACCTTATTTAAAAAAAAAAAAAAGATTTTGTTGATTTGACAGAGCAAGAGAGCACAAGCAGGGGGAGCAGGAGAGGGAGCCCAATGCAGGGTTTGATCCCAGGACCCTAGGATCATGACTTGAGCCTAAGGCAGTTCCTTAACTGACTGAGCCACCCAGGTGCCCATTAAATAAAACTTTAAAAAATAAAATAAAATAAATAAGTAAATAAAATAAGACTGGGGACACCTGGCTGACTTAGTAGGGCATGCATCTGCTGATCTCAGGGTCATGAGTTTGAGCTCTATGCTAGACATAGAGCCTACTTAAAGAAATAAAATTAATTAAATAAATATTTCAGACTTCATTTGTTTTTCTTGAAACAATCAGGTGTTTGTTCCATTCCCCTCATAATTTCTCTGAATCTTTATCACTGTGCTCAAAGCCCCCTTTTCCATCCTCATCTCTTGAACTCTTAGCAGATGACCTTGGCTCCTACCATATCAGTAAAAGTGAGGACAAAAGATGTTGTCACTACGTTCTAGGTCTTAGTCTAAGCAGTTATATATGTCTGCCACCGTTCCCAGCTGCCTTCCTCCCCTGTCAGAAAATAAAGTGCCCCTTAGTCTTTAAGGTTGTCCTCTCTATCTGTACCTTTGATCTTTAGCATAACTTATGTAAAATGCTTAAAAGCAGAAGCTTTGGAATCAGCCATACAGACTTCAGATTTGATCCTGATTTTGACAATTATTATCAATGAATTCACTTCTCTAAACCTCAGTTTTCTCTGAAATGAGGATAATCACACATACTTTAGATTTTATGATTTAGTGAGATTATAGTGCTAAGTATTTAGAGTTCTTGGAATATAGTAAATGGTCAATAAAGGATAGTTGCTGCTAATCAGAGTAAATTATTAACATCATCAGTTCAGTTTCCCTGAAAGCACCTTCACCACAACTAATTGGCCATAAGGAAATTTTATGTAAAAGATAAGCTCCCAAAAAATAAAATGGAACATTCATTTAAAAGGGCATAATGAAATGTGAAAAATGAATAACAAAATTAAAAAGGTTTATTTGTGAAATACAAAGCATTTGAATACATCCAAATGTGTAGTGTAGGTTCGTGGTGATGCTATACCAATAAATGAATTTATTTTGTGAATTGTACCTAAGTCATTCATTCATAGCAGTATACTTTTTTTTTTGCTTGTTGAGTTGTCTTCTCATTTGATATCACATTTTCTTTTTCTTTTTTCCCTAGAATTTTTTCCTTCATTTAGAAAAGTATCATTTTCCAAATACTGGGATTTGTACATTTGTAACTGATCTTTGCAATGCACTGTGAAAACCTTCCACAATACTGTCTGTTCTTGGTGCATTGTCACATGCCCCTTGAGGATGGTGACTATCTTACTCATCTTTGTATCCCCAGCATTTAGCACAGCACATGTAAGTTATCACTAAAAAAATTGAAGTTGAGTGTTCTTTAAGAACAAACCGTCTTTCACTGTGGACCATTTACCTAGTTAGCAAACATTAACGGAGAGCCTGCCATGTGCCAGGCATTGTGCAGGAGCTAAGAATACAGATTAGCATTCAAATATCCTTGTCCTCACAGAGTTTACAATCTAACGTCTAAGAAAGTGTGTTTAAATTGTACATTGCAAAACTGTGTGGCAGGTGCTTTGAAAATACAGGATAGAACAGGATTATATAAAAAGAGCGACATATCTTTGAGAGGTCAAAGAAGGCCTTCCAGAGGTAGTAATTAAGTTAAGACCAATAGGGAATGGAGAGAAGTTCCTGTCAGAGGACAATGTCCATAAAGTTCTTTATGTGAAAGAATATTGTGTCTGAAGACCCATAGGCAGTTCCATGTGGCTGAAAATATGAGTTTGATGGACAGGAGGGACACAGCAAGAGTCTAGAGGAGTCTTCTAAACCATGCTCAAGAGTTTGTGCTTCCTCCTAAAGTTCCCTCCTAAAGTTCATGGGAAGGCATAAAAGAATTTTATTCTGAAAGTTCCCAACCAGTATAAGAAAAGGGGAGTTATGGGGCACCTGGTTGGCTAAGTTGGTAGAGCATCTGACTCTTGATCTCCAGTTGGTGAGTTTGAGCCCTGCATAGGGTTTAGAGATTTAAAACAAAACAAAACTGTTTAAAACAAAAAAGAAGAAAAGAAGAGCTGTGTCAGAGTGTGTGTGCTTGTAGAGAGGATTCTGCTCACCAGTAAAAAACAAACCAGCTTTTAAGAACACTGAACAGTGCCATCATGTGGCTACTATCTCTGATGCCAGCTTGAATCAAAACTGACAAAGTGGGATCCTGCAATCTCTTGGTTTTACACTGAGAAGGAAACCATTTTATATGGATCAGGCAGGATTTTGGAGAAGCTAGGAAAGTTCCGTGAAAGGAAATACATTTAAAAAAATCAGTTTTGGGGCACCTGGGTGGCTCAATGATTGAGCATCTGCCTTCGGCTCAGGTCGTGATCCTAAGGTCCTAGGATTGGAACCTGCATCTCCCTCTGCCTGTGTTTCTGTACCTCTCTCTGTGTGTCTCTCTTGAGTGAATAAGTAAAATCTTTTTTTAAAAAAATCTGCTTTTCTATCACTTTCCTTTTTTTTTTAATTTTAACTCCCATAAAGTTTTTATTTTTAAAAATATAAATAGGCATCTACTCGGTGTCCATCGAAAGATGAATGGATAAAGAAGATGTGGTTTATGTATACAATGGAATATTACTCAGCCATTAGAAACGACAAATACCCACCATTTGCTTCAACGTGGATGGAACTGGAGGGTATTATGCTGAGTGAAATAAGTCAATCGGAGAAGGACAACCATTATATGTTCTCATTCATTTGGGGAATATAAATAATAGTGAAAGGGAATAGAGAGGAAGGGAGAAGAAATGGGTAGGAAATATCAGAAAGGGAGACAGAACATGGAAGACTCCTAACTTTGGGAAACGAACTAGGGGTGGTGGAAGGGGAGGAGGGCGGGGGGTGGGGGTGACTGGGTGGCGGGCACTGAGGGGGGCACTTGATGGGATGAGCACTGGGTGTTATTCTGTATGTTGGCAAATTGAACACCAATAAAAAATAAATTTATTATTAAAAAAAAAGAAAGTGTAAATGCATGCTTTGAGTTTGTGTCTGTGTGTTGTGATATCTGACCAGGGATAATAAAACCTGTCTTTCATACCCACAATAAAATATATATATATATATATATATATATATATATATATATATATATATAGACATCTAATGTAAAGAGCAAGTTTCACTGGCTCATTTTGTGATTTGCTAGCTTCTCTAGCTAAAATGATAATCATAAGATTACAGGAAAAAATATGTACTTTCATTTTTGCCTAACTTAAAACAATGTTCTTAAACATGGATAATTTCAAAACTTGAAGAGCATTTTAACATCTTCTTCCAGTGTTATGGACTTTAATAAGTAGATCTTATATAAGTGGATCTGGTCTTTAATCTCTGAAATAAGTTAACTGTCTGATTAGCAGATCTTTTATCTTAAAATAGTCTGTATTGGGCACTTCTCAAAAGATAATATGTATTAATATTCTATCTTCTTTCTCTCCAGATACTTTTCTTTGGATTTGGGTGGCTTTTCTTTATGCGCCAACTATTTAAGGACTATGAGGTAAGAGGAGATCATTTTGATTATGAGTCTACCAAATGAATTTAGATTGTTGTAAAAGGGGCATGAATGGGGTACCTGGGTGGCTCAGTCAGTTGAGTGTCCAACTCTTGGTTTCGGCTCAGGTTATGATCTCAGGGTCAAGAGATCAAGCCCCCTGTTGGGCTCTGCACTCAGCATGGAGTCTGCTTGAGATTCTCTCTTCTTCTCCCTCTGCCCCTCTCCCTTCTTGTGTGTGCACTTTCTCTCTCTCTCTAAAATAAATAGATCTTTAAACATAAAAATAAAATGGACACGAAAAATGCCTCTGTTCAAGGAAAGTCATGATCACTTCCAAGATAGGAAGTTTTAGCCAAATGAGTACTATATAATTCTTAAGTTGAAGAATATGATTAGGCTTAGTTGATGTTAAAAAAAAAAAAAGCAAATCCTATGTAGCCCAGGAGCAAAACTGACATGCCTTAGTAATACCAGTATAGTAGACAGTTATTTTTTGGAAGAGAATTTCACTTACAGTGTCTCCTAAATGTTCCCATTTATTTGGGTATCTGACCATCAATGTTAAGGACTAATCTTACATCCTAAGTTAATACCAAAATCTTAAGTCTAACCTGGTTCTTAAGCCTTGAGTTCATAGAAGAGTACCTGGGTAGCTCAGTCCATTAAGCGTCTGCCTTCAGTTCAGGTCATGATCCCAGGGTCCTGGAATCAAGCACCACATTGGACTCCCTGCTCAGCGGGGAATCTGCTTCTCTCTCTCCCCCCTCTGGTGCTCTCTCTCGCTCTCAAATAAATAAATATCTTTTTTAAAAAAGCCTTAAATTCATACAAACACCTACCTAGACTAGACATTTCGTAATTAATCCTCACTTAGTAATAATAATCTCAATGGTTGTAGACTACTTTTAGATCATTCTAGATGTTCACCATTAAACCTCTCCAGGGAGTTTGGTTTGTTGTCTGAAAGAGTCCAAGATTCTAGAGATTCTGCTCTGCTGGATACTTTAAGCTCTCACCACCACCCCCACCCCACCCCCACCCCCCGCCCTGGGGTAGGTTCCAGAACTGGTTTGAGGTCTGCAGAGTATTGAAGAAACTGTTTTAGCACAAACCTATATATATGTAATAAATCTGTCCTTTTTATGTCAGTGTGCATCAGGAATTCTGAGTGCTGCTTCTGACCCTGTCACTTCATCTTGTGCTTTAAATGTTTCATCCACAAGAGGATGATGGTAATAGTGACCCATAATTTAAAAATACTACCTACTTCCATCTATCTTTTTTTTTTTCCATCTATCTTTTTAGCTCCAGGCAAGTTTATATTAGGGCCTCATTTCCAATGACTTGAGAATTTTTTCATTAAGTTTTCTGACTTGTGACCAGATTATCAATTAAATATTTCATGCAAGGAAATGACTTGTGTTCTCTGTTTGACTTTTAATAGGTACGTCAGTATGTGGTACAGGTGATCTTCTCTGTGACTTTTGCATTCTCTTGCACCATGTTTGAGCTCATCATCTTTGAAATCTTAAAGGTATTAAATAGCAGGTGAGTGAGTACTAATTAGCTCTTCTTGTGAAGATACCTGTGTGATCAATCAGGTGGAAGCCTTAACCTGAGTTCCATTGTTGAAAAATCCATGTGTTAGTTTAATCTCAGTAACTAAAAATCATAGCAAATATGTATCCCAGTCACCAAATAACTGGTTTGACACAGATTGTGAAGTAGAAAAAAAAAAGGTCTAACCATAGCTCTGAGGAGTTGAGATTGTGGCTGTGAGAGCCTGGGTTCCAGGCTTCATTCCTAGAAGTTTTATTCTTCTCAGGCTACTCTTTGAATCCTGCTAATGGCCCTTCCTCCAAGTTAGTTATGTCTGGGCTTCTCTGAAGTCTGAACCCAGCTTTCACTAACTGAAGTTACCTTTGTTGATTTCAGGGGCATGGTCAAGTCTGTCTGAACTTAGTCTTCTTTATTTATTTATTATTCTTTTTAAAATATTTTATTTATTTATTCATAGAGATGCAGAGAGAGGGAGAGAGGCAGAGACACAGGCAGAGGGAGAAGCAGGCTCCATGCAGAGAGCCTGACATGGGACTCAATCCAGGGTCTCCAGGATCACGCCCAGGGCTGCAGGTGGCGCCAAACCGCTGCGCCACCTGGGCTGCCCAACTTAGTCTTCTTTAAAGCATATTTTAAAAGCAACTCCTATTCCCCTCCAAATAACAGACCTATTGTTTATTAGACAACCTGTCCAAAATATTTCTTGCTTGTTAAACTAGAAACTTGAGTTTTTTTGTTTTTTTTGGGTTTTTTTAAGATTTTATTTATTTATTCATGATAGACGTAGAGAGAGAGAGAGAAAGGCAGAGACACAGGCAGAGGGAGAAGCAGGCTCCATGCAGGGAACCCGACACGGGACTCGATCCCGGGACTCCAGGATCACGCCCTGGGCTGAAGGCAGGTGCTAAATCGCTGAGCCACCCAGGGATCCCCCAAACTTGAGTTTTTAAAGACCATTGTTTGTGTGTGCATTATATCAGCTATTTTATGATGACTTTGTAGTTTTTATCACTGCATGGAAAAATCTTTTAATAAAGTGGCATTTGACTCTATAGTCAGGAATCAGTGCTGAGCTAAGCTGTATAACTTACTTCAGACTTGTGACTTAAGGAGAGACTGTATTCGCAGATTCATTTGAGAATCAGAGTTGATCATTAATGTCTCTTGATTGGATAAATCAAGAATTCATAGCATGTTAATACAAAGTATGTCCTGACTCTTATATTAAACTAGTTCTTTAATAATCAAAACCTTTTTTAGATAAGCAAGATACAGGTCATATGACTAATGACATATGTCATTAATGAGAATAGACCAAAATTCTTTAACTTGCTAATTACAAATAATAAATCACAGTTGGGAACTTTGCTCTCTAACCAGAGGTCATCAAGTAGTTCAGTAAAGGGCTAGATAATAAACATTTGAGGCTTTGTGGGTTATACAGTTTCCATCACAGCTACTCAGCTATGCTGTTGTAGAGTGAAAGCAGCCATGGGTGATGTATAAACAAATAGGTGCAGCTCTGTTCCAGTAAAATCTCACTTATAAAAGCAAATGTTAGGTGGTTCAGTGGTTTAGCGACTGCCCAGGGTGTGATCCTGGAGTCCCGGAATTGAGTCCCACATCAGGCTCCCTGTATGGAGCCTGCTTCTCCCTCTGCCTGTGTCTCTGCCTCTCATGAATAAATAAATAAAATCTACCTCTCTCTCTCTCTCTCTAATGAATAAATAAAATCTTTTTTTTTTAAAAAAGGCAGATGTCAAAAAAGTAAAATAAAAGCAGATGTCTGGTAGGTCGTAGTTTGCTGACCACTTATCTAAGTATCCAAAGAAAAGACTATGGCTCAAATATTCTACAACCAAGATTGTGTTTGGTAGGAGATGTCTCCAACTTTTAACTCATTTATAATTAATTCATATAGTAAGACACATCACTCAGTTACTTTGATATATATTTCTTAAATAGTTTATCTTAAAGAATATAGGAAGTTGCATTGGTGAAATCTGGTTGTTATTTGGGTGCTTTTGGGGGGCTTCTGTTTGTATAGACTAAGACATATTCAGTTACACCTATTTCCTTCATACTAACATTTGGCCCTACTGTGACAGAAATATGGGCCTTGGTCATGTATTATTTTGGTGCATTGACTGCATTCAGAATAGTTTTCAAAAAAGAAATGTGGCCTGAATCAAGAGTATTCTTTTGACACTTCTGAGCAGAAGTGGTATGGCCTTCTATTCAAATATATAACCTTGTTAGGGTCCTTAATTTTCTTAGGAGAATGTTGTTTTACTCTCAGCTCAAAAAACAGTTAAAAGATGTGGTTCACTTTTTTTTTTTTTTAAGATTTTCTTTTTTTTATTCATGAGAGAGACACAGAGAGGCACAGACATAGGCAGAGGGAGAAGCAGGCTCCATGCAGGGAGCCTGACATGGGACTCGATCCTGGGTCTCCAGGATCACACCCTGGGCCGAAGGCAGGCGTCAAACCACTGAGCCACCCAGGCTGCCCATGTGGTTCACTTTTTATTGACAATATGGGTCACACTTGTCATTTCAAATCCACCACCTCCCATATCTTTTAGAAGGTTAGCTAAAATACTAAGTACAGCTGCCTGGAGAGTGTGCAACTATTTGTTTCTCTAGATGCTCTAAAGTGGGTTAGTCCAAAGGAGTAAAAAGTTGTCAGTAGATCTAGACTAAATGGTATTGGCTTTCCGTAGCATAGCTTTTAATGAATAGCTCTTTGTTTTATGATGCCTGCCCATCCATTTTGAGGGGAACAATAAGAAACTACCCTCTGAAACTCGTTTTCATGTTTCTCTTGAAAGAATGTTGAAGACCTTGTTAATTGCCTTCACATTCTCTTTAGGAAATCTTTGGAGAAATTTCATTATGGTCTTGGTAATAATTCAGTAATAATAAATCACTAATAATTATGTTTCCTTGAAGCAATTGGTTTTCCTATAGCACTGTCACTTACATTTGACTGATCAGATTTTCTGTTTCACATCAACCATTGGAAACTTCAAGCTAAATTTATGATCCACTCATATCAAGTTTTTAGAACTCTGTGGTGTGCATTTTCATAATAGTCATCAGGCCTGGCCTGCTTTTATACCTATCTTTTCCCATGTTTTTCCTTTCTTTTCCTACTTTCTTACAGTTAATTTCATCACCCTGTATTTTATATATCCTCATAAGCCACTTAACTACCTAACTCTTTGAAGGCCCACGTGTTAGTTTAAAATCTGCAAATACAAAAGACAGCATCAAGAAAGTGAAGATTCCCCAAGAACGAGAAAAAATTTTTGTAAATTACTTATCCGATAAGAGACATCTGTCTAGTATATATAAAGAACTCTTAATAGTTCAATAATAAAAAGACAACACATTGAAAAATGGATAAAAGATCTGACTTGGCATTCCTCCAAACAAGATACAGATGGCCAGCGGGTCCCTGGGTGGCTCACCGGTTTAGCACGCCTGCATTTGGCCCAGGGTGTGATCCTGGAGTTCCGGGATCGAGTCCCACATCGGGCTCCCTGAATGGAGCCTGCTTCTCCCTCTGCCTGTGTCTCTGCCTCTCTCTCTCTCTCTTTCTCTTATGAATCAATCAATCAATCAATCAATCTTTTTTTAAAAAAACAGATGGCCAATAAACACATGGAAAGATGCTCAGCATCATTAGCCATTGGCAGGGAAGTGGCAATCAAAACCACAATGAGCTACCACTTGATACCCACCAGGATGACTATAATCAAAAAGACAGTAACAAATGTAGGCGAGGCTGTGGAGAATTTGGAACCCTCCTATACTGCGGGGGAGAATGTCAAATGGTGCAGCCACTCTGGGAAATAGTGACAGGCCTCAAAAAATTAAGTAGTTATCACATGACCCAGCAGTTCCACTCCTGGGTAAATCCCTAGACAGAAATGAAACATGTCCACACAAAAGTTTGTACCCAAATATTCATAGCATCACTGTTTATGATAGCTTAAAATTGAAACAATCCAAATGTCCAGCAACTAATGAATGGATAAACAAGATGTGGCATATCTATACAATTGAATGAATATTATCTTGCCATAAATAGGAATGAAGTATCAATAGATGCCATAGCATGGGTGAACCTTGGAAACATGCTAAGTGAAAGAAAGCAGACATAAGACAACTTGTAATGTCCAGAATAGACAAATCCATAGTGATAGAAAATAGATTAGTGTAGGAAGTTGGGAGAAAAGGAGAGCTAATGGGAACTGATACACTATGGAGTGATGAAATACTCTAAAACGTATTTCGGTGATGGTTGCACAACTTTGTGAATATATTAAAACCATTGAATTATTTATACCTTAAATAGGTGAATTATATCTCAATAAAATTGTTTAAAAAAATCCACAGATGGGGGTTGGGCAAAATGGGTGAAGGGGAGTGGGAGATACAGACTTCTAGTTAGGGAGTGTGTAAGTCATGGGAATAAAAGGTATAGCACTAAAAAAAAAGCCCTAAAATTTTTTTTAATCAATTCATAAAATACAGTTTATAAGCAGTAATAAAAATGATGATGTAAAAGAAATATTTAAGTCTTTATAGTACATATTACTATTAACATTTATTTTCTTTTAATTATGAGACTCCCAGTGGTAAGTGAAACAATAGTCACTCTACTACTGATAGTATATGTTGTTATGTTATTATACACTGCCTATGAATATAACTAGAGCATTACCATTCTCATTTGGATAGGTAAAATTCTTAGGAAGTTAGGATGTTCATCTATATGTTTCAGAACTCTAAAATATATTCTTTAACCTCTATAAACAATCAGACGGTAGCTTGCTTAACTAATTGAATGGGATATATTCGGTATTGAGTTCAAAGAGCAAGAGATCTTTTAGAAAACTGAAGAGAAGGAAAGTTCCTGCCTTCTTCCCCTCCTTTTGATATTCTTTGATATTTATTTCAGTTCCCGTTATTTTCACTGGAAAATGAACCTGTGTGTAATCCTTCTGATCCTGGTTTTCATGGTGCCTTTTTACATTGGCTATTTTATTGTGAGCAACATCCGACTATGTGAGTATTTAAAATCGTGAGTATTTTACCCTCTCGTGTCAGCACATAGATCGAAATGAGGATTTGTGGGGATTGAGGCTTTGGAAAGCTCCATTTCTATGTAACTTTCAGTAGCAACTGTTGTTTGGGGTGCCTCACACACAGCCTCTTAAAAAGTTTGGCATAAAATCAATGTTGAATAGTTAGGTAATTGGTGCTGCTACAGCTATACTTCTGTTTCTACTATAATATCCCCCTTAACTCAACCCCCATCTTAATTTCAGCCAAATTCCTCTTACAGTGATTAGGATGCTTTCTCTAAAATCTGTATTACTCCATCACTCATTTGCCAAGTGAACAAGCCAGTCAAATATTAGTTAGCATGATTCCATGTATGTAAGTAGAGCAAGCTCTGAAATACATATCTATTTAACCTCACAGTCTCTCTCTTCCTTCCTAGTGCATAAACAGCGATTACTCTTCTCCTGTCTCTTATGGTTGACCTTCATGTACTTCTTCTGGAAACTAGGAGATCCATTTCCCATTCTCAGCCCAAAACATGGTAAATGTCTATGTGGTGGGGAGGGGGAAATAATTTTTTTTATCATTTTCTAATTTTGAAAAATAATGACTATTTTTAAACTTCTGATTATGGCACATATAGCAAGTTATTTCTCTAAAAACAGTCTGGTTGTGGTTTTTTGTTGTTGTTTTGTTTTGTTTTTTAAGATTTTTTATTTATTCATTCGTGAGAGAGAGAGAGAAAGAGGCAGGACACAGGCAGACGGAGAAGCAGGCTCCATGCAGGGAGACTGACATGGCACTCAATCCCGGGTCTCCAGGATCACGCCCTGGGCTGAAGGCGATGCTAAACCGCCGAGCCACCCAGGCTGCCCAACAGTCTGGTTTTAAATTGAATTTCCCTTCATTCTAGGAAATACCAAATGCTGGCTTTGGAAACTACTTCTGTGATTTTAGAGCAGGCGGTTTTGACCTTAGGTTAGTGAATGAACTTCAGGAGAGCAAGGGGTAGGGGAAGTTGTCTTTAACTTAAAACTTCTGATATTGTATGCAGAATTATGGGGAAATATTTGTATGTTTATTTGGAATTAAAGTATCCATAAGCTTTTATAAGACTCTCAAAGCAGTCAGTGACCCAAAAGGTAAATGACCACTGCTCAAGTGATGATAAATGTTGTCTTTAGGGAGTATATGTAAAATTTGGGAAAAAGTAGTGACATAAAACATAAAAATAGTAGATAAAGAAAAGCTTTCTAGGAATCAGTATGTCTCCTTACACAAAAAAGTTCATTTTAAATACAAGAGCAGGGGCACCTGGCTGGCTCAGTTGGTAAGGTGTGCAACTCTTGATCTTGGGGTCATAAGTTTGAGCCCCACGTTGGGGGTAGAGATTACTTAAACAAATAAATACTCAAAAAAATATCTTTAAATACAAGAGCAAATCATAGAGCCCTAATTTCTGTGCTAAAAACCATGAATAGTAAAGTGTCAGCTAAAAGCCCTTCCAGGACTACTTCAGAAATATATATGTGAATATAGATATAGATATATATGCCATCTGTAAGGAATATAATGGTTCTTTGATACTGGAGATTTTTTTTTTTTTTAAGATTTTACTTATTTGAGAGAGAAAGAGATAGTGAGAGAGAGCTGGATCAGGGTGGAAAAGGAAAAGTAGGCTCCCTCCTGAGCAGGGAGCCCAACATGGGGCTCAATCCCAGGACCTGGGATTATGACCTAAGCCAAAGGCAGATGCTCAACTGACTGAGCCACCCAGGCACCCCAATACTGGAGGTTTAAAAAAACACATACATCTATTCATTTTACTCTCATGCTGTATCAGGATTCTTATAGCAGAAAACAGAATCTACTCTAACAAGTTTAAATCAGAAATTTATTTCAAGGCATTAGGGAGTTTATAGAATTTTTAGGAAAGCAGGACATCAAACTTAAATGCTGCATAGTGAAGAGTAACATACAATCATACCACAGTAGTCAACTGGTTAAAAACCCCACTGAAGTTGTCACTGCCACTGGGGACCTGTGACATCAGGGATCAGATAGAGGACCTCTGCTCCAGTGACCGCAGATCCCAAGTGCTGTCCACACTCCCATGTTAATTAACTTCTACATTTGAGGTCTCACTTAGGCATGTGAATTTGATACAGCCCAGGTACATTCAGAACCTTAGCTTCAAGGAAATCTGGGAAAGAATATTTGGCTTTCTAGATTCTGTAATACAAGAAGACCATGCTAGAAAGGAATCAGAGTGAATGTTGAGTAAACAAGTGTCTAGAATCTACCATGAATCCATTTGTGTCTACTCCTTGCCTGAAGCAGGGATCTGATGAAAAGAGGTTTTGAGATTATGCTGCAAGAGGATCAGAGAAAATGCACAATTTTAAAAAGCATATGCAGGAGTCTCTGGGTGGCTTAGTCGGTTAAGCGTCTGCCTTAGGTTCAGGTCATGATATCAGGGTCCTGGGATCGAGCCTGGTTTCAAGGCTCCCTGCTTAGTGGGGAGTCTGCTCCTCCATCTGTCCTTCTCACTGCTTGTCTGTGTGCTCGCACGCACTCACTCTCATATAAATAAATAAAATCTTTAAATAAATAAATAAAAAGCATATGCACTATCCTAACTTTTTTTTTTAAGATTTTTATTTATTTAATCATGAGAGAGAGAGAGAGAGAGAGAGAGGCAGAGACACACAGGCAGAGGGAGAAGCAGGCTCCCTGTAGGGAGCCCGATGTGGGACTCGATCCTGGGACCCCGGGATCACTCCCTGAGCTGAAGGCAGATGCTCAACCGCTGAGCCACCCAGACGTCCCTATTCTATTTTTTTTTTCCTATTCTATTTTTAAATTAGAAATAGCTATTATGAAATTTCAAATAACATTTAAGAAGGTCAAAAAAGTTAAACACGGGCAGCCCCGGTGGCACAGCGGTTTGGTGCCGCCTGCAGCCCAGGGTGTGATCCTGGAGACCCAGGATTGAGTCCCACATCGGGCTCCTTGCATGGAGCCTGCTTCTCCCTCTGCCTGTGTCTCTGCCTCTCTCTCTCTCTCTCTCTCTCTCTCTCTCTCTCTCTCTCTCTCTGTGTGTCTCTCATGAATAAATAAATAAAATCTTAAAAGAAAAAAAAGTTAAACCCTAGGTTACCAGAAACATTCAAACTATTAGCATGGTCTACGAGATCTTCCATGACCTGACTACTGCTGTCTTTCTCTCTGTGTCTGTCCTACAGCCCTACTGAATTACTTGAAGTTTCTAGAGCTGTTCTTTTAGGACATTCCTTCACCTCTTGTTTATCTAGAAAATGCCTATTCTTGCAATATTCAACTCTTGTCAATTCCTCTTAAGATCTTTTAGGCCATCACTAGGAGATATTAATTGTTCCCACTTCAATGTACTTCTCTCACCTCTAACAATTATATTACTTGTTACCTTTTCTGTAACAATTATCTCGCAAGCTCCATGAGGAACTTGGGGTCAAAATCTGTATCTTGTCTTTGTATCCCCTGTGTCTAGTGTGGAACCTCGCACATAAATGTTTAGTGCATGTTTACTTAATCAGTGAATAAGAAAAAAACAATTTCAGTCTCTCCAAGGTAGTAGAAGAGTTTAAGAATGTAACACTCTGGATAGGAATTTAGGGTTTGCTAATATGATTAGCATGCACATGTCCATTTAGGGAAGGATTTGGAGTAGAGAGGCCTTGACAGTATAGCTCTCAATATGAACTATTTCAATAAACCCAAGAGAGACAAATTCGTGATATCAGAAACAAGGCACAAGAATGATAAAAGGCCCCCAAAGCTGTTTACAATGATAGCACACACGTGCAGCCCAAAGACAAGACTCTGATGTCTGTCTTCAGCTTTTTCCTTGTGAGCAGTGAGTTCACGTGACCAGTGTAGCCAGACCAAGCCTCAGGAAAGATGAAGACCATCACATTTTTTCTATCTTAGTCCTTTTTTTTTTCCAAATTCTATAGAGATATTGTAAAGAAGACAGTTGGGGGGAGAACAAGGAGATAGTTTTAGTTTTAGTCTTTCCTTTATGCTCCAGGAAATAAGCATTTCGATTTTGCATCTGGTGTCTAATTCACTGGACTAAGGGAAGTAAGTAGGAACAACGTTTTAGGCAATGGATGAGAAGCAGCCAGGCTTACCATGCCATCCTAGAGCTTTTCCAGGACTATCCCAGCAACCAGTATTACTTATTACTGTGGAGACCACAAAAAGACAGTAAGACCTAATTCTTGCCTGTAATGAAAAGATGTCTGTAAAAGTACTCCTTGTGCAGTGCCTGAACCTAGGAATGTTGGAAGGCATTCCATAGTGGAAAAGAGTAAGGGAGGCTAAGAAAGTATATGAAGTGCACAAAAAATAATAAAAATTAAGTGTATGCCACTTCATCCATCTGCCTTTCCATTTATTAGCTAGAAAAACAAGTAACAATTGACCTTAACTTCATAGAAATGCTAGGATTAAATAAATAGTTTCTTCAAAGTTTTAGACCAAGAAAAGATATTTAATAAAGGGACATGACCTTAAAGGGAATAAAAGTAGAGGGGACATAGTTTCTTATGTTTAATAACCTGCATTAATCCCTTGGGCTTTTTTGTTACTAGATGAAAATTATATACCTACAATCTGTAAACATTTGCTGAACATCTCCCATGTGCCAGGCAGTAAGAAAAACAAACATCAATAAGACATGATTTCTTCCTATAAAGAGGATGTAAAGAGGTATGTGGGAAGTAGAATCAACAGAATTCGGATGAGGATTTAGTCATTCATTTAACATTCCACAAATATTTTTTGAACACCTAATTTTACTTTAAGTACTGGAGATACAGCCATAAACAAAACAAACTTGGTTTCTGCCCTCCTGAAACAGCCTTCGGTAGGAAAGATTGAACAGTAAATATATAGATAAATAATTGCCAATTGTGATCATTATCAAGGAGCAAACAGATTACAGTGATAGACAACAATGCAGATAAGGATGTAAAATTAGATGCAAGTGCCTAGTCAGCCTTTCTGAGGAGGTATTTTAAGCTGAGATTTAAAGAACAAGACCAAAGATAGACCCAGCAATGGCAACAGCACAAGACACATATAAAGCCGTGAGGCAAAAAAAAACAAACAAACAAAAACAAACTAGTGTATTCAAGGGGAAGTAAAAGACAACGGAGACTAGTGTGGTATAGATTTTTCTGTTTTGGTGACTAGATGGTTGATGATGTCATTTTCTAGGATAGGTTATGCAGAAGAAGGAGGGTAATTCGAAGTTGGGATATGTTGAATTTGAGTTATGCACATCCAAGTGACGTTCAATATGCAGTTGGATACATAAGTTGGCAATTTAGGAGAAAGGTATGGACTTATTAGTCCTCCTGGAAATAACTCCAGGAATCTAAAAATTTAGGCACCGTTAGCTAAATGCCATTAGATGAACCTGGGGAAATAGGCAGAATTACCCATGGAAAATGCATAGAGTGAAATGATGGAGGATTCTGGCTCATTCTGAGCAGAGAAAGACCAAGAAAATAAAATAACTAGAGAAGTAAAGGGGATGACTGAGGGAAATGGTGTAAAAGCTAAGAAAGGAAAATAATTTTAAATAGTATCACAAAAGATTAAACAAAGATCAATTCCAAATGGATTAGAAATATTGAATTTTGCAACCAGAGGAAAATTTGTGACCATATTACAGTAATGGTTAAGAGTATAGGCTGTGGTGCTTGGGTTTGAATCCTAACTCCCATTTACTAGCTGTGTGGCCTTAACTAAGTTACTTAACCCTCTCAGTACTTCTATGTCCTCATCTGTAAAATGAGGTTTTTCGATAATACCTGCCTCATAGGGCTATCATGAGGAGTAAATGAGTTAATACTGCTTCAGGCAGTGCCTAGTACATAACAGGTGTTTGATGGATATTGCCATTACAATTATTAGTGAAAGCAGTTTTCTTCAGGTAGGAGAATGGGATGAAAGTTGAATTGCAGCCAGTTGATGAATTAATGGAGGTGAAAAAGAGGTGATAGTAAGTGTAAGTTCCTTTCAAGAAGTTTGGCTGCAAAGGGTGAAATAGAGGATTGGCAAGTATAGGGAAACTTCAAGGCTAAGGACAGACTTTCTTCAGAAGGAGACTTGAAACTGAAGGAAAGAACCAGCAAGGAAGAAAAGATTGAAGATAAAAGAGAGAGGACAGGTGATGGAACAAGACTCTAGAAGAGGTAGAAAAGGAATAAGATCAAAGCACAAGTAGAGAAGTCTTAGCTTCTTGGCTCAAGCTTACTCTTGTTAGAAGGGAACAAGTTGGGAGGATGATTGCAGTTGTGAGTATAGTAGAGTGAAGAGAGTATATGTCTAATGACTTCTGTAATAAGGACATTAGCTAAGGAGGGCAAAGACTGGGAAAATGAAGTTTATCTACTGGGGTCGGGGGATGGCGCCTGGTGGCTTAGTCAGGTACATATTCGACTCGGTCAGGTATATATTCGACTCAGTCAGGTACATATTCAACTCCTGATATCAGCTTAGGTCATGATCTCAGGGGGGCTCCACAATCCTCGAGTCTGCTTGAGATTCTGTCTCCCCCTCTCCCTCTGCGCCTTCCCACCCAATGGTTGTACTCTCTCTCTCTTTAAAATAAAAACTTTAAGATTTTGTTTATTTATTTATTTGTTTGAGAGGAAGAGCACGAGCAGAGGTGAGGATGTGGGGGCAGAGGGAGAAGCAGATTCCTTGCTGAGCAGGGAACCTGACATGGGGCTGGATCCCAGGACCCCAAGATCATGACCTGAGCTGAAGGCAGAACACTTAACTGACTGAGTCATCCAGGCACCCCTAAAATAAATAATCTTTTTTTTTTTTTTAATTTATCTGCTGAGGGGAGTGGGAAGAGATGGCTGACCAAGGGCAAGAAAAGGGTTCTTCAGTAGTGTCATAAGCTCTGTTAAGACTAAGACCATAAATCTGTAATAGCACCAATATCCGAATGCATTCTACCAGTTTTAGCAGCTCAGGCAGAGATGCAGGGAAGATGGAGTGTCAGACAGATCCAAGATTGGGGTTTTAAGGATCAGCGCTTCAGAAGGAGGAGAGTCAAGACAGAGTCCTAATGAGAGGAGTTGAAGCAAGCAAGTGTGGAGTTCAGGCTCAGTGAAGAAAAAAATGGAAGGTAGGAAAAACCAAAAGACCATAGAGACCAGAGGTCACAAAGATCTCTGAAATGGTCTAGTGGAAACACAGGAGCCGGAGGACTGGAATGTTGGAATTTCAATTTCAAACTAACAAAATTCCTGAACGGCAGCCCTGGTGTTAGGCCAGAGTGGATAATACTGAAGTGTATTCCATCCTAGAAATAGGAAGTGAAAACAAAACTAGTTTTGTCCTGTGATTCCAAACTTCCTGGCTTTTTCTTCAGCATTGCTTTCTCTCGTTTATCCCAAATATCAACAGCATGAATTTTAACTACTAATTTTCAGCATTCTCAAATAATAGGAAACAAGTGATAATTAGAATACAACTGATAATTTAAAACTCACATGTCTGCCTTGAAAATACTCATTCATGTATGTATTCAGCTCATTTGTTAGATGCCTTATATGTTTATTGACAAAGATGAATAAGACATAAGCTCATAAGACCTAAAGAGCTTATGATGACCTAAGGGGGAAATGTATATATTGATGGTAAGTATAATGGAAAGGATTACCTGGTATTTATACTTTTCCAGCAGATTTACTTTCCTAAAATTTTTTTGCCCAACTTTTACTAAAAGTACTTTGCTTTGTTAGAGTTCACACTACCTTGAGTAAACAAACAGTCAAAAAGTATTTTGACAAATATTGTTTTAATATTACCATCACCCAGTAATAGAGATGATTCTGGAAGCATATGGGAGAGGAGGAAAATCAATAGACTTTTATACATATATTATGGACGATGTACATACTGCTAATAAAAAATTTGGCTTATTTAGTATGTAATGGTTGATGTTTTCTGTGATGTTTCCTCTTGCAGTGCCATTTTATCTTTTTCACCTGACATTAAGGTGCTTTGATGTTTTTAGGGATTTTGTCCATAGAACAACTCATCAGCCGAGTAGGTGTGATTGGCGTGACTCTCATGGCTCTTCTTTCGGGATTTGGTGCTGTCAACTGCCCATACACTTACATGTCCTACTTCCTTAGGTAAAAAGAATGTTGTCTCTTTTCTTTTTTCCTATTACTTCATGAATACATGTGTCCTATCATGCCATCATCATTAATACTTAAGTATTAGATCCGTGACACTGCCTTTTTATTCTTTCCCTCTGTCCTATGGACATTGTCCTAGGAATCTCTCAAAATAAATAAGTCTTATCACTTAGATTGTTTGCCCTTTAATTGTCCTACATTCACTGATTTTAAAATGGTTATTTTAGAGTGTCTGAGTGTCTTAGTTTGTTGAGCATCCAACTCTTGATTTTAGCTCAGGTCATTATCTCGGACTTATGAGATTGAGATTGAGCCCCCTGTCAGGCTCTGCACTCAGTGGGGAGTCTGCTTGAGATTCTCCCTCTCCCTCTGCCCCTTTCCAAGCCCACAAGCATTCATGCACATTCTCTCTCTCTAAAGAAAAAATGTTTCTAAAAAAACAGTTATTTCAGTCAGATCCTCTTTACTTCCTCTTACACTTTTTAAAGGCACATTTCTTGTGGACAGCAATGTTAGCTAATCCCTACTTCAGTAAATCAGCTCCTCCTAAAAGTAGAAAGTAGAAGACCATATGCCAAATTGCAGGTGTGCTTATATGTACATCGTAAGTGTCACTGGATCAAAGCTAAGAAAGACCATAAGAGAGCCAGTGAGCCAGATCAAAGCTAAGAAAGACCATAAGAGAGCCAGTGAGCCAGAGCCCTGAGACTGCAAAACTTTTTGCTATCAAAAATGACAGCAGTGCTCACTTTGGCAGCATATATACTAAAAATGACAGCAAAAGCATCTTTGCTTTTTATAGTCATTTTAATATTCTCTAGAAAAAGGTTCTTGTATTACTAACAACTGAGGTTGATATGTTTCTCCAGCTGCTTTGTATTTATTATGCCCAAGGATGGATCCCAAAACAACTGCTAACAGTTTGTGCTTCTTATAGAAATGTGACTGATGCAGATATTGTAGCCCTGGAACGGCGACTGCTCCAAACCATGGATATGATCATCAGCAAAAAGAAAAGGTAAGATGTCAGCACATTAAAAAACTTGTCCTTAGAATTTTTCGACAAGAAAACATGACTTTGAATTAGGGCTAACAGGGAATTTCATCGTACTCGTTTTTATAAGTTAAGGTACCATCAGAGATTTAGTGTCTAGTCTTGCGTGAAAGAAATTTTCAAATTCCACTATTTCCTGACTTTAGATAAATTCTCTTGAGATAAACTGTTAAAATAACTTTTACATTTGCGGGTATTCTGCATTGGATACTTTAAAAGTCTATTGTCCTACATTTTTACAAGCTTTTGCATCCATGCCTAGTATCAATCTTTCAACTTCCTTCTCCAACTACTTAAAAAAAAAATCCTTCAAGACTTTTAGCTGTTGTCATTTTTATCATTTAAGAAGTACTTTTACAGTGTATGCTTTTAGAGTGGCCTTTCTAGAAATCTTTTTTTTTTATTTTTTTAAGATTTTATTTATTTATTCATAGAGATGCAGAGAGAGAGAGAGAGAGAGAGAGAGGCAGAGACACAGGCAGAGGGAGAAGCAGGCTCCATGCAGAGAGCCTGACGTGGGACTCGATCCCGGCACTCCGGGATCATGCCCTGGGCTGCAGGCGGCGCTAAACCGCTGCGCCACCGGGGCTGCCCCTTTTCGAGAAATCTATATCACAGTGGGTTACAGCCTAGGCTGTAGATTCAGACTATCTGAATTTGAATCCTTGGCCCACGATTTAGTGTGGCCTTGAGGCAATTACTTTATGTCTTGGTTTCCTCATCTGTAAAATGGAGATAATAAGTTGACATGTAGAACTCTTAGAATAGTGAACAGTACAGAGCTAAGGAAAACTAGTGAACTTACTAATAGTCTCTGGGGGACAATCATTAGGTTTTAGTGCTTTGTCTTTATTTATTCATTCATGTATTTTCATTCTCTTAATAACTGTAGGAAGCCTAATTTATGCTAGGTATTGCACTAAATGCTGAACTCATAGAGATAGAACGAGGAATGAGATAAGTTACCGGGGTACCTGGGTGGTTCAGTCTGTTAAGCATCTGTCTTCGACTCAGGTCACAATCCCAGGGTCCTTGGGATCGAGCTCTGCATTGCTGAGCAGGGAGCCTGCTTCTCCCTCTGCCTCTGCCCACCCAACCCTACCTCCCCAACCCAAGCTTGTGTTCTCTTTCACATGCCCCCTTCCAACAAATAAAGAAAATCTTTGAGGAAAAAAAATATAATAAATTACTGTTTTCATGAAGCTCATTAGTCTGCTTTTTTCAAAGCTCTATTCCCCGGGCAGTCCCGGTAGCCCAGCAGTTTAGCGCCGCCTTCAGCCCAGGGTGTGATCCTGGAGATCAGGGATCGAGTCCCATGTCAGGCTCCCTGCATGGAGACTGCTTCTCCCTTTGCCTGTGTCTCTGCCTCTCTCTCTCTGTGTCTGTCATGAATAAATAAATACAATCTTTAAAAAAAATAAATAAATAAACAAATAAAGTTCTATTACCCAAATAAAAACAGTGGCATAGAAGTTTTAAATTGCATGAGTCTTGGGCACCCTGGGTGGCTCAGTGGTTTAGTGCTGCCTTCAGCCCAGGGCCTGATCTAGGAGACAGGGATTGAGTCCCACATCAGGCTCCCTGCATGGAGCCTGCTTCTCCTTCTGCCTGTGTCTCTGCCTCTCTCTCTCTCTCTCTCTCTCTCTCTCTCTCTGTCTCTCATGAATAAATAAATAAAATCTCCATAGTCACGTCAAAGAAGGCTTAATGTAAAAAGATAACAATAGACTATAGAAGATAAAGAGGGCCAGACTGGCCAGCTCATTATTTGTCTCCACTTGTGTACATTTGTACTAGGATATTGAAAGTAAATACACATGTTGTATATACATTTATTCTTTGCATTTTGTTTACATTCATTCTATACGGCTTATTTTACATAAAAATGAATATAGATTTAAAAGACATAACAGTAAGAGCTACATTATTCAATACTGAAAAATAATTATAAAGGAATAATACTATTTTGGTTCCTGGGATTATTCGCTCATTTACTATATTTCTCGCATTCATACGGAGAGATGAATGTAAAGATATGAATGACCCATGTCAAGTATGGATGTACATTTTTTACAGATTGTATTTATTTATTTGACAGAGCGAGCGTGCAGGAGCAGGAGGAAGGGCAGAGGGAGAGGGAGAAGCAGGCTCCCTACTGAGCAGGACCCTGAGATTGTGGCTTGAGCCAGAGGCAGGTGCTGACTGAGCCACCCATGGACCCCAGATGTACATTTTTAAAAAATTTTTTATTGAGGTATAGTGGACATACATTATGTTCAAGTATACACTACAGTGGGGATCCCTGGGTGGCGCAGCGGTTTGGCGCCTGCCTTTGGCCCAGGGCGCGATCCTGGAGACCCGGGATCGAATCCCACGTCGGGCTCCCAGTGCATGGAGCCTGCTTCTCCCTCTGCCTGTGTCTCTGCCTCTCTCTCTCTCTGTGTGTGACTATCATAAATAAATAAAAATTTATATAAAAAAAAGTATACACTACAGTAATTGAACAATTCTATACACTATGCAATGATTACTACAGTAAGTATACATCTGTCACCATGCAGTGTTATTAAAATATTATTGACCATATTTCCTAGGCTGTACTTTTCATCTCCATGACTTATATATTTTATAACTGGAAACTTGTACCTCTTAATTCCCTTTGCCTATTTTGCCCATCACCCCCATCACCCTCCCCTCTGGCAACCACCAGTTCTGTGTATTGGAGTCTTTTCCTGTTTCATATGTTTATTTGTTTTGTTTTTAGACTCCACAAAGAAGTGAAATCATACGGTATTTGTCTTTCTGTCTGACTTATTTCACTTGGCATAATACCCTCTAGATCCATCCACATTATTGCCAGTGGCAAGGTATCATCTTTTTTAATGGCTGTGTAATATTCCTCCGTGGGTATAGTGTGTGTGTATGTGTGTGTATACCACATCTTCTTTATCCATTCATCTATCGATGGACAGTTAGGTTGCTTCCCCCTTGGCTACTGTAAATAATACTGTAGTAAACATAGGAGTGCATGTAGCTTTTCAAATTACTGTTTTTGTTTTCTTTGGGTAAATACCTAGTAGTGAAATTACTGGATCCTCTGGTAGTTCTGCTTTTAATTCTTTGAGGAACTCTATACTGTTTTCTATGGTCATTGCATCAGCTTACATTCCCACCCCTGGTGCATGAAGGTTCCTTTTTCCTCCACATCCTTGCCAATACTTGTTACTCTTATTATTGTATCCATTCTGACTGGCATGAGGTGATATCTCATTATGGTTTTGGTTTGCATTTACCTGACTAGTGATGTTGAGTATCTTTTCATGTATCTGTTAGCCATCTGTATGTCTTCTTTAGAAGAATGTCTCTTCATGTCTTCTGCCCATTTTTAATCAGATTATTTGTCTTTTTGATGTTGAGTTGTATAAGTTGTTGATATATTTTGGATATTAACCCCTTATAAGGTACATCATTTGCAGTTCAGTAAGTTGCCATTCAGTAAGTTGTCTTTTATTTTATTGGTTTCCTTTGCTGTGCAAAAACTTTTTATTTTGATGTTGTCCCAATAGTTTATTTTTTGCTTTCGTTTCCCTCAGTAGAGGAGACATATCTAGAAAAATATTTCTAAAGTTAATATCCAAGAGATTATCACTTGTGTTTTCTTCCAGGAATTTTATGTTTCATGTCTCACATATAGGTCTTAATCCATTTTGAGTTTATTTTTGCATATAGTGTGAAAAAGTGGTCTAGCTGCATTCTTTGCATGTAGCTGTCAGGTTTTCCCAGCACCCTTTATCAAAGAGACTATCTTTTCCCTTTGTATATTCTTGCTTCCTGTGTTATAGATTGAGTATATAAGTGTGGATTTGTTTCTGGGCTTTCAATTCTGTTCCATTGATCCATACTGTTTTTGATTACTGTAGCTCTGTAATATATCTTGAACTCTAGGACTGTGATACCTCCAGTTTTGTTCTTTCTCAAGATTGATTTGGATATCTGGGGTCATTTGTGGCTCCATACAAATTATAGTATTACTTGTTCTCGTTCTGTAAAAAAGGCTATTGGTGTTTTGATGGGGATTGCGTTGCGTCTGTAGGTCGCTTTGGGTAATATGGACAGTTTAACAATATAAATTCTTCCAATCAGTGGACATGGAATATCTTTCCATCTGTTTGTCTTCTTCAATATCTTTTATCAGTATTTTATAGGTTTCAGAGTACAGGTTTTTACTGCCTAGGTATTTTACTATTTTTTGGTGCAGTTGTAAATAGGACTATTTTTTTTTCTGTAAATAATTTTACTTTTTTCCTATGATTTTGGATGCCTTTTACTTCTCTTTTTCTTGTCAGATTGTTGCAGTTAGAACTTATAGTACTGTGTTGAATAAAACTGATAAGAGTGGGCATCCCTGTTTTCTTCCTGATTTTAGAGCAAAAGCTCTCAGTGTTTCACCATTGAATATGAGGTTAGCTGTGGGTTTTTCATATATGACCTTTTTTACGTTTAGATAAGTTCCTTCTGAAACTATTTTGTTGAGAGTTTTTATGATCAAGTATTGAATTTATCAAATGCTTTTCTATTAGGATGAATATATGATTTTTATCCTTTATTTTGTTCATGCGGTGTATCATGTTGATTTTGTGAATACTAAACTGTCCTTGCATCCTTGGAGTAAATCCCAATTGATTGCAGTAAATGATCCTTTTAATGTACTGTTGAATTGAGTTTGCTAATGTGTTGAGGATTTTTGTATCTATGTTTATCAGGGGTATTGACCTGTAGTTTTGTGGGTTTTTTTGTAGTGTCTTTAGGTGTTTTTGGTATCAGGGTAATGCTGGCTTTGCAGAATGAATTTGGAAGCCTTTCTTCCTCTTCTATATTTTGGATAGTTTTCATAGTTAACTTTTATTTGAATATTTGGTAGAATTCACCAGTGATTCCATCTGGTCTTAGACTTTTGCTTATTG